CATCATCACCGTGAGTAGGAGATGGTGACTACCTCGCCTGGTATTCAGGAGGTCGTGGGTTCGATCTCTATCATCACGGTGGCTAGGAGATGTTGACTATCTCGCCTGGTCTACAGGAGGTCGTGGGTTCGATCTCTGTCATCATCACGGTGGCTAGGAGATGTTAACTACCTCGCCTGGTCTACAGGAGGTTGTGGGTTCGATCTCTGTCATCATCACGGTGGCTAGGAGATGGTGACTACCTCGCCTGGTCTACAGGAGGTCGTGGGTTCGATCTCTGTCATCATCACGGTGGCTAGGAGATGTTAACTACCTCGCCTGGTCTACAGGAGGTCGTGGGTTCGATCTCTGTCATCATCACCGTGGGTAGGAGATGGTGACTACCTCGCCTGGTCTTCAGGAGGTCGTGGGTTCGATCTCTATCATCACGGTGGCTAGGAGATGTTGACTATCTCGCCTGGTATACAGGAGGTCGTGGGTTCGATATCTGTCATCATCACGGTGGCTAGGAGATGTTGACTACCTCGCCTGGTCTACATGAGGTCGTGGGTTCGATCTCTGTCATCCTCACGGTGGCTAGGAGATGTTGACTACCTCGCCTGGTCTACAGGAGGTCGTGGGTTCGATCTCTATCATCACGGTGGCTAGAAGATGTTGACTACCTCGCTTGGTCTGCAGAAGGTCGTGGGTTCGATCCCGGGTTACCTCCAGTTTTTGCCTCCACATTTAGAATCGACGTGCTTTCAAATTATTTGGATGCTATAGATTTCCAAACGATGATGAGCCACTTCGTTGAGCTATCAGTTGTGGCCAGGTCGCTTCTGGAAAAAGAGTGACATAGCTCAGTGGGCCTCACCTGGTAAAATAAATAAAAAATGTTTAGTTTCTAAGACAAAAGATCCCCCCGTATAGCCTTCAACAGGCTGTAGGGGCAAGTGCTGTTAGCGAGGAGCAGCACCTGTGAAGGCCGGCACAGCACACGAGGGGGTGGGTGGCCAGCACCACGCCCGGCCGCCTTTGTCTCCCCAGTAATAATGCTTTGCACACACCACACCAGGTACTCATCATTTTAGGCTGAGTCGACCTAGGGGAAGCTCAGCACCGGTTCAGATAATCGTCACTGGTGTTGGCGGTCGTGCGTTTGAATCGAACTCGGGTCGTCGGCTTCTCAGTGCAGTGCGCCAACCACAGCGCTACGTACAGTTCGAAAGACGTTCAACATACATACCACAGCAGCACCGCTCCACACACACACACGCATACACTTGCCCCAAAAGGCTACACTGAGGGGGGGGCGGGGGATGGTCTTTGCCTTTGTGTGGTGGCGGCAGGCAGGGCCTGGACGGGCACGTGCTGCGCTTCACGGCCGAGATGAAGTCGGGAAACCCCCTGGACGAGGGCCGGAGGTTCGTGGTCTCCTACTTCCTGGAGGACGACACCATCTCGGTGTTCGAGCAGGAGCAACGGAACTCAGGCAAGGGGCCGGCGGGCACAAAGGACCACCCCGCACACGGTGGCTAGGAGATGTTGACTACCTCGCCTGGTAGACAGGAGGTCGTGGGTTCGATCTCTGCCATCATCACGGTGGCTAGGAGATGTTGATTACCTCGCCTGGTAGACAGGAGGTCGTGGGTTCGATCCCGACCCTGACGCCTGCTGCTGTATATTTTAAGTCTGCGTGTCTCTCTCTCTCATCATCATCACGGTGGCTAGGAGATGTTAACTACCTCGCCTCGTCTACAGGTCGTGGGTTAGATCCAGGCCCTGATGCCTGCTGTATATGTGGAGTTTACGTGTCTCTCTCCCTCTCTATCATCATCATCATCACAGTGGTGAGGTGTTGACTACCTCGTTTGGTATACACCACCACCTCCAACAGTACCTCCGACACCACGTCCACTACCACTTCCACCACCGCCACTACCACCTCCACCGCCAACACCACCACCACCACCAACACCACCACGTCCACCACCACGTCCACCACCTCCACCGCCAACACCACCACCACGTCCACCACTGCCACCACCACCTCCACCACCACCACCACGTCCACCACCACCAGCACCACCACTTCCACCACTGCCACCACCACCTCCACCGCCAACACCACCACCACCACGTCCACCACCACCAACACCACCACCTCCACCGCCAACACCACCACCACCACGTCCACCACTGCCACCACCACCTCCACCGCCAACACCACCACCACCACGTCCACCACTGCCACCACCACCTCCACCACCAACACCCCCACCAACACCACCACGTCCACCACCGCCACCACCACCACCACCACGTCCACCACCACCGGCTCACCCCCGTGCCGGTGTTGCCGCTGCCGCGTGGCCTGGTCCCAGGCGTGGTGGCCGGGAGGTTTCTGGAGCGCGGTGCGGTTGAGAAGCCCGGCCAGCCGCGGTTCGGAGCGGCGGCGCCGGCGCGGTTCCTGGCGCCGGACCTCCACGTGGGGGCCGTCGTCGCCCTGCACGGCCGCCCCCTGCGTCTCACCGGGGCCGACCGCTACACCCTGCGCTACATGGAGACGCACCGCGACGAGGTGCTGGTGCTGGTGACGAGATGATGATAATGATGATGCGACGAGGTGGTGATGTGTCGAGATGATGAGATGACACGGTGACGTGGAGATGAGGCGCACCGCGACGAGGTGACGACGACGAGGTGAGGACGACGAAACGATTATGACGAGGTGGTGACGAGATGATGAGGCGACAAGGTGGTGTTGTGTTGAGATGACACGGTGACGTGGTGGTGACACGCACCGCGACAAGGTGACGTGCCGCCCATGGACAGGACGATGATGGTGGTGGTTATAGTGGTGATGATGGTGATGGTGGTGGTTATAGTGGTGATGGTGGTGGTTATAGTGGTGATGGTGGTGGTTATAGTGGTGAGGTGGTGGTTATAGTGGTGATGATGGTGGTGGTTATAGTGGTGATGATGGTGATGGTGGTGGTTATAGTGGTGATGATGGTGGTGGTTATAGTGGTGATGATGGTGGTGGTTATAGTGGTGAGGTGGTGGTGGTTATAGTGGTGATGGTGGTTATAGTGGTGATGGTGGTGGTGGTTATAGTGGTGATGGTGGTGGTGGTAGTTATAGTGGTGATGATGGTGGTGGTTATAGTGGTGATGATGGTGGTGGTGGTTATAGTGGTGATGATGGTGGTGGTTATAGTGGTGATGATGGTGATGGTGGTGGTTATAGTGGTGGTGGTGGTTATAGTGGTGATGATGGTGGTGGTTATAGTGGTGATGGTGGTGGTGGTTATAGTGGTGATGATGGTGGTGGTGGTTATAGTGGTGATGATGGTGGTGGTGGTTATAGTGGTGATGATGGTGGTGGTGGTTATAGTGATGATGGTGATGGTGGTTATGGTGGTGATGATGGTGGTGGTGGTTATAGTGGTGATGGTGGTGGTTATAGTGGTGATGATGGTGATGGTGGTGGTTATAGTGGTGATGATGGTGGTGGTGGTTATAGTGGTGAGGTGGTGGTGGTTATAGTGGTGATGGTGGTGGTGGTTATAGTGGTGATGATGGTGGTGGTTATAGTGGTGATGGTGGTTATAGTGGTGATGGTGGTGGTGGTGGTGGTTATAGTGGTGATGGTGGTGGTTATAGTGGTGATGGTGGTGGTGGTGGTTATAGTGGTGATGATGGTGGTGGTTATAGTGGTGATGATGGTGATGGTGGTTATGTTGGTGATGATGGTGGTGGTGGTTATAGTGGTGATGGTGGTGGTTATAGTGGTGATGATGGTGGTGGTGGTTATAGTGGTGATGGTGGTGGTGGTTATAGTGGTGATGATGGTGGTGGTTATAGTGGTGATGATGGTGGTGGTTATAGTGGTGATGGTGGTGGTTATAGTGGTGATGATGGTGGTGGTTATAGTGGTGAGGTGGTGGTGGTTATAGTGGTGATGGTGGTGGTTATAGTGGTGATGATGGTGGTGGTTATAGTGATGATGGTGGTTATAGTGGTGAGGTGGTGGTGGTTATAGTGGTGATGGTGGTGGTTATAGTGGTGATGATGGTGGTGGTTATAGTGGTGATGGTGGTTATAGTGGTGATGGTGGTGGTTATAGTGGTGATGATGGTGGTGGTGGTTATAGTGGTGATGATGGTGGTGGTGGTTATAGTGGTGATGATGGTGGTGGTGGTTATAGTGGTGATGATGGTGGTGGTTATAGTGGTGATGATGGTGGTGGTGGTGGTTATAGTGGTGATGGTGGTGGTTATAGTGGCGATGATGGTGGTGGTGGTGGTTATAGTGGTGATGGTGGTGGTTATAGTGGTGATGATGGTGGTGGTTATGTTGGTGATGGTTATGGTGGTGATTGTGGTGGTTATAGTGGTAATGATGGTGGTGGTTATGTTGATGATGGTGGTGGTTGTGGTGGTTATGGTGAAGGTTGGTGATGGTGGTTATGGTGGTGATGGTGGTTATGGTGGTGGTGGTGATGATGGTGGTGGTGGTGGTTATAGTGGTGATGGTGGTGGTTATGGTGGTGATGGTGGTTATGGTGGTGATGATGGTGGTGATGGTTATAGTGGTGATGATAGTGATTATAGTGGTGATGGTGGTGGTAGTTCTAGTGGTGATGGTGGTGTTGATGATGGTGGTGTTTATAGTGGTGTTGATGGTGGTTATAGTGGTGATGATGGTGGTGGTTATGTTGGTGATGGTGGTGGTTGTGGTGGTTATGGTGAAGGTTGGTGATGGTGGTTATGGTGGTGATGGTGGTTATGGTGGTGATGATGGTGGTGGTGGTGGTTATAGTGGTGATGGTGGTGTTGATGATGGTGGTGGTTATAGTGGTCGTTATAGTGGTGATGATGGTTGTGGTGGTTATAGCGGTGATGATGGTGGTTATAGTGGTGGTGATGTTGGTGATGGTGGTGGTTATGGTGAAGGTTGGTGATGGTGGTTATGGTGGTGATGGTGGTGATGGTGGTTATGGTGGTGATGGTGGTGATGGTGATGGTGGTGGTTATAGTGGTGATGGTGGTGTTGATGATGGTGGTGGTTATAGTGGTGATGATGGTGGTTATAGTGGTGATGATGGTGGTGGTTATGTTGGTGATGGTGGTGGTTATGGTGGTGGTTATGGTGAAGGTTGGTGATGGTGGTTATGGTGGTGATGGTGGTGGTGGTTATGGTGATGATGGTGGTGGTTATAGTGGTGATGATGGTGGTGATTATAGTGATGGTGGTGGTAGTTATAGTGGTGATGGTGGTGTTGATGATGGTGGTGGTTATAGTGATGGTGGTGGTAGTTCTAGTGGTGATGGTGGTGTTGATGATGGTGGTGGTTATAGCGACGATTTTGGTGGTGGTGGTGGTGGTGGTGATGGTGATGGTGGTTATGTTGGTGATGGTGGTGGTTGTGGTGGTGGTTATGGTGATGGTGGTTATGGTGGTTATGGTGGTGGTGATGGTGGTGGTGGTTATAGTGGTGATGGTGATGATGATGGTGGTGATTATTGTGGTGATGGTGGTGTTGATGATGGTGGTGGTTATAGCGACGATTTTGGTGGTGGTGGTGGTGATGATGGTGATGGTTTCGGTTACGATGGTTTACGGTGACGATGGCGGCGATGATGACGGCGAGTGTTTGCCCGTGCCGCCGGCGCGCGTCACGTAATCACCGCTCCTCCTCGACTCCCGTCTCGCCATACCTCCCGTCTCGCCATACCTCCCGTCTCGCCATACCTCCCGTCTCGCCATACCTCCCGTCTCGCCATACCTCCCGTCTCGCCATACCTCCCGTCTCGCCATACCTCCCCTCGCCATACCTCCCGTCTCACCATACCTCCCGTCTCGCCATACCTCCCGTCTCACCATACCTCCCGTCTCGCCATACCTCCCCTCGCCAGTTCGCCGAGGCCGACGCCTCTCTGGCCGTGGAGAAGCTACGGGCGTCCCTGGGGGCCGGCGAGGGTCCCAGGGCCTTCAGGGCCGCCTGCATCGAGGCCGACGCACTGGGCACAGGGGCCTTGCCCTGGGCACAGTTCAGGTGCGGGGGAGGGAGGGGAGGTTGGGTTGATGATGTTGACGATGCCGACGACGACGATGGTGGTGGTGACGGTGACGACGATGGTGGTGACGGTGACGACGATGGTGACGGTGACGACGATGGTGACGGTGACGACGATGGTGATGATGGTGACGGTGGCGACGATGCCGACGACGATGACGGTGGTGGTGACGGTGACGACGATGGTGATGATGGCGATGATGGTGACGGTGACGACGATGGCGATGATGGTGACGGTGGCGACGCTGCCTACAACGATGATGACGATGCCGACGACGACGATGATGATGGTGACGGTGACGACGATGGTGGTGACGGTGACGACGATGGTGACGGTGACGACGATGGTGATGATGGTGACGGTGGCGACGCTGCCTACAACGATGATGACGATGGCGATGATGGTGACGATGGTGGTGACGGTGACGACGATGGTGACGACGATGGTGATGATGGCGACGATGACGACGATGGCGACGCTGCCTACAACGATGATGACGATGCCGACGACGATGATGCTGGTGACGGTGACGACGATGCCGACAACGATGATGACGCTGCCTACAATTATGACGATGGCGATGACGACGATGATGATGCCTACGATGACGTCTATGACGATGCTTACGATGTTGACGGTGACAACGATGACGACGATGATGTTGTCGTGGTGACGGTGACGACGATGGTGACGATGGTGACGGTGGCGACGCTGCCTGCGATGATGACGATGCCGACAACGACGACGATGGTGGTGACGGTGACGACGATGGTGACGGTGGCGACGATGCCGACAACGACGACGATGGTGGTGACGGTGACGACGATGATGACGCTGACGATGGCGACGACGATGATGACGCTGCCTACAATTATGACGATGGCGATGACGACGATGATGATGCCTACGATGACGCCTATGACGATGCTTACGATGTCGACGGTGACAACGATGGCGACAATGACGACGATGACGACAACGATGTTGTCGTGGTGACGGTGACGACGATGTTGACGGTGACGACGGTGACGACGATGACGACAATGACGACGATGTTGTCGTCACTGCTGCTGTGCCGCGCGCGTATCAGGGCGCTGGTGCGCATGGCGTGCGGGCCGCAGAGCCTCAGCGACCACGGCCTCATCACCCTGGCCAGGAGGTTCCACGTGGACCGGGAGGACGACGACGACGACGAGGAGGAGAAGAAGGGTGACGTAGAGGAGGAGGAGGAGGGCGCGATGATGACGGCGAGGATGAAGAGGATGAGGAGGAGGAGGGAGGACGAGGTGGGAGCGGCGTGCAGGAAGCTGCTCCGGGCTCGACGGTTCGAGGAGTTCCCGGTGCTCCTCGAGGAATTTGCTCAGCGAGACGCCGCGCGGTGAGCCGGCGATGGGAGGGAGGATGGCGGCGGTGGCGGTGACAGGAGGAGGATGGTGGTGGCGGGGATATCTGTGGAGCGTGGTGGCGGGAGGGCGTGATGGAGGGTGGCGATGGATGGTGATGGATGATGATGGTGGTGGATGGTGGAGCGTGTGCACGTGGCAGTGTGTGATGGTGGATGGTTGATGGTGGAGCGTGCGCATGTGTGCATCTCCAGGTCGGGGTGGCTGTGTGTGATGGTGGATGGTGATGGTTGATGGTGGAGCGTGCGCGTGTGTGCATCTCCAGGTCGGGGTGGCTGTGTGTGATGGTGGATGGTGGATGGTGATGGTTGATGGTGGAGCGTGCGCGTGTGTGCATCTCCAGGTCGGGGTGGCTGTGTGTGATGGTGGATGGTGATGGTGGATGGTGATGGTTGATGGTGGAGCGTGCGCGTGTGTGCATCTCCAGGTCGGGGTGGCTGCGTGTGATGGTGGATGGTGATGGTGGATGGTGATGGTTGATGGTGGAGCGTGTGGAGAGCGGCGGTGTAGCGGTTAGCGCGCTGCGCTACGAATCCGGGGGCCGGAGTTCGATTCCCGGCTCACGACCAAGAACACCAGTGGCGATTATCTGAACCGGTCCTGGGCCTCCCCTAGGCCCACTCAGACTTAAACGAGTACCTGGTGTGGTGTGTAGTAAACATCGCCACTGGGGAGACAAAGGCGGCCGGGCGTGGTGCTGGCCACCCACCCCCTCGTGTGCCGTGCCGGCCTTCACAGGTGCTACTCGCTAACAGAACTTGCCCCAACAGTCTGTTGAGGCTACACCGGGGATCTTTGTCTTTGTCTCCAGGTCGGGGTGGCTGTGTGTACGGGAGGCGCGCTCCGTGTGCAAGTCGCTCCATCTCCCTGTGGACGACTCCCTGCTGCACGACCTCCTGGACACGTGGGGACGACGCACCACGACCTCCACCACCACCTCCACCACCACCTCCACCATCACCACCTCCACCACCACCACCACCTCCATCATCACCACCGCCACTACCACCACCGTCACCACCACGGCATCCACCACCATCATCGCTGCAACCTTCGCGACCAGCATCAGCACCACCAGCATCACCACCACCAGCATCACCACCACCACCGCGACCTCCACCAGCACCACCACCACGACCACCACCAGCACCACAAAGGCGAACTTCATACATTAGGAATGGACGTCGCGCGTTCGGGGTGTGTTTGGCCGATGTAAATTTCAAGAGCTACTCAGCTCAGTGGGGCCTTGCACCTGCTAGAATAAACAATCAGTTGATATTCTTGGCTCTTTCGGTAAAGTCACGTTTGAAGGGAAACAATAAAATAATAAAAATATATATAAAACAATAACAAATTCTCACGACGCTTGTGTGAGAAAATGCGAACCGCCACTTCTTTCAAATGTTCCTTGCCGTTGGTTTTTCTTCACACCTGATGACGACCGTTTGTGTTATGGTCGAAACGTCGTGAGAATTTTTATTGTTTTATATATATTTTATTGTTTCCCTTCTACGTGGTGACTTTACCGAAAGAGCCAAGACTATGAATCACTGCAGTCACGAAAGCTTTAAATCAAAATCAGTTTATAGTTGAAGTTTCGTTATACCGTAAAGTGTTCAAAAACTGCATGTGAGACAGGGCGAGGTGGGCAAGGCGCAAAGGTGAAGCGCGCTGCGCTACGAAACTACGGACCCCGGCCACCCGAGTTCAATTCCCGGCCAGGGCCATGCACCTGTTAAAAATGAACAATTCGTTTGAAGGAGTTTAGACTGTTGATGGGCGTCTTTGTCTGTGGTGGTTGCAGGTTCTCACAGGGTGCAGAGCAGGCCATGGTGGACTACGAGCGCATGGTGGGAGCCATCAAGTGGAGAGAGAACGCGAGCGTCGACCTGGCACGCCCACACCAGGTAAGGAGCCACGGCAACATACAGCAACAACAACAACATACAGCAACAACATACAACAACATACAGCAACATACAACAACAACATACAGCAACATACAACAACAACATACAGCAACATACAACAGCAACATACAACAACAACATACAGCAACATACAACAACAACATACAGCAACATACAACAACAACATACAGCAACATACAACAGCAACATACAGCAGCAACATACAGCAACATACAGCAACAGCAACATACAGCAGCAACATACAGCAACAGCAACATACAACAGCAACAACAGCAACCAACAACATACAGCAACATACAGCAACAACAACAACCAGAACATACAGCAACATACATCAACATGCAACAACATACAGCAACAACAACAAACAGCAACAACAAACAGCAACAACAAACAGCAACAATAAACAGCAACATACAACAACAAGCAACAACAAACAGCAACAACAACAACCCATACCTCACCCTCCCCTATAACATTAACTCTACCCCTAGTGATACCCCTACCCCTAGAGATACCCCTAGAGATACCCCTACCCCTAGAGATACCCCTACCCCTAGAGATACCCCTACCCTTAGAGATACCCCTAGTGATACCCCTACCCCTAGAGATACCCCTACCCGTTGAGATACCCCTACCCCTAGAGATACCCCTACCCCTAGAGATACACCTACCCGTTGAGATACCCCTACCCCTAGAGATACCCCGACCCCTAGTGATACCCCTACCCCTAGAGATACTCCTACCCCTAGTGATACCCCTACCCCTAGAGATACCCCTAGCCCTAGAGACACCCCTACCCCTAGAGATACCCCTAGAGATACCCTTACCGCTAGAGATACCCCTACCCCTAGAGATACCCCTACCCCTAGTGATACCCCTACCCCTAGAGATACCCCTACCCCTAGTGATACCCCTACCCCTAGTGATACCCCTACCCCTAGAGATACCCCTACCCGTTGAGATACCCCTACCCCTAGAGATACCCCTACCCCTAGAGATACCCCTACCCCAAGAGATACCCCTACCCCTAGTGATACCCCTACCCCTAGAGATACCCCTATCCCTAGTGATACCCCTACCCCTAGTGAGACCCCTACCCCTAGAGATACCCCTACCCCTAGAGATACCCCTAGAGATACCCCTACCCCTAGAGATACCCCTACCCCTAGAGATACCCCTACCCTTAGAGATACCCCTAGTGATACCCCTACCCCTAGAGATACCCCTACCCGTTGAGATACCCCTACCCCTAGAGATACCCCTACCCCTAGAGATACACCTACCCGTTGAGATACCCCTACCCCTAGAGATACCCCGACCCCTAGTGATACCCCTACCCCTAGAGATACTCCTACCCCTAGTGATACCCCTACCCCTAGAGATACCCCTAGCCCTAGAGACACCCCTACCCCTAGAGATACCCCTAGAGATACCCTTACCGCTAGAGATACCCCTACCCCTAGAGATACCCCTACCCCTAGTGATACCCCTACCCCTAGAGATACCCCTACCCCTAGTGATACCCCTACCCCTAGTGATACCCCTACCCCTAGAGATACCCCTACCCGTTGAGATACCCCTACCCCTAGAGATACCCCTACCCCTAGAGATACCCCTACCCCAAGAGATACCCCTACCCCTAGTGATACCCCAACCCCTAGAGATACCCCTATCCCTAGTGATACCCCTACCCCTAGTGAGACCCCTACCCCTAGAGATACCCCTACCCCTAGAGATACCCCTAGAGATACCCCTACCCCTAGTGATACCACTACCCCTAGTGATACCCCTACCCCTAGAGATACCCCTACCCCTAGAGATACCGCTACCCCAAGTGATACCCCTACCCCTAGAGATACCCCTACCCCTAGAGATACCCCTACCCCTAGTGATACCCCTACCCCTAGTGATACTCCTACCCCTAGAGATACCCCTACCCCTAGAGATACCCCTACCCCTAGAGATACCCCTACCCTTAGTGATACCCCTAGCGATACCCCTACCCCTAGTGATACCCCTACCCCTAGTGATACCCCTACCCGTTGAGATACCCCTACCCCTAGAGATACCCCTACCCCTAGTGATACCCCTACCCCTAGAGATACCCCTACCCCTAGTGATACCCCTACCCCTAGAGATACCCCTACCCCTAGAGATACCCCTTCCCCGAGAGATACCCCTACCCCTAGAGATACCCCTACCCCTAGTGATACCCCTACCCCTAGAGATACCCCTGCCCCTAGAGATACCCCTACCCCTAGTGATACCCCTACCCCTAGAGATACCCCTAGAGATACCCCTACCCCTAGAGATACCCCTACCCCTAGAGCTACTCCTACCCCTAGAGATACCCCTACCCTTAGTGATACCCCTACCCCTAGCGATACCCCTAGTGATACCCCTACCCCTAGAGATACCCCTACCCCTAGTGATACCCCTACCCGTTGAGATACCCCTACCCCTAGAGATACCCCTACCCCTAGTGATACCCCTACCCCTAGAGATACCCCTACCCCTAGTGATACCCCTACCCCTAGAGATACCCCTACCCCTAGAGATACCCCTTCCCCGAGAGATACCCCTACCCCTAGAGATACCCCTACCCCTAGTGATACCCCTACCCCTAGAGATACCCCTAGAGATACCCCTGCCCCTAGAGATACCCCTATAGATACCCCTACCCCTAGAGATACCCCTACCCCTAGTGATACTCCTACCCCTAGATACCCCTACCCCTAGTGATACCCCTACCCCTAGTGATACCCCTACCCCTAGAGATACCCCTACCCCTAGAGATACCCCTACCCCTAGATACCCCTACCCCTAGTGATACCCCTACCCCTAGCGATATCCCTACCCTTAGCGATACCCCTACTCCTAGAGATACCCCTACCCCTAGAGATACCCCTACCCCTAGAGATGCCCCTACCCCTAGATACTCCTACCCCAAGTGATACCCCTACCCCTAGTGATACCCCTACCCCTAGAGATACCCCTAGAGATACTCCTACCCCTAGAGATACCCCTAGTGATACCCCTACCCCTAGAGATACCCTTACCCCTAGAGATACCCCTACCCCTAGAGATACCCCTACCCCTAGAGATACCCCTAGAGATACCCCTACCCCTAGTGATACCCCTACCCCTAGAGATACCCCTACCCCTAGCGATATCCCTACCCCTAGAGATACCCCTAGAGATACCCCTACCCCTAGAGATACCCCTAGCGATATCCCTACCCCTAGAGATACCCCTACCCCTAGAGATACCCCTTCCCCTAGAGATACCCCTACCCCTAGAGATACCCCTACCCCTAGTGATACCCCTACCCCTAGAGATACCCCTAGAAATACCCCTACCCCTAGAGATACCCCTACCCCTAGTGATACCCCTACCCCTAGAGATACCCCTACCCCTAGAGATACCCCTACCCCTAGTGATACCCCTACCCCTAGAGATACCCCTACCCCTAGTGATACCCCTTCCCGTTGAGATACCCCTACCCCTAGAGATACCCCTACCCCTAGTGATACCCCTACCCCTAGAGATACCCCTACCCCTAGTGATACCCCTACCCCTAGAGATACCCCTACCCCTAGAGATACCCCTTCCCCGAGAGATACCCCTACCCCTAGAGATACCCCTACCCCTAGTGATACCCCTACCCCTAGAGATACCCCTAGAGATACCCCTGCCCCTAGAGATACCCCTACCCCTAGTGATACCCCTACCCCTAGAGATACCCCTAGAGATACCCCTACCCCTAGAGATACCCCTACCCCTAGAGATACTCCTACCCCTAGAGATACCCCTACCCCTAGTGATACCCCTACCCCTAGCGATACCCCTAGTGATACCCCTACCCCTAGAGATACCCCTACCCCTAGTGATACCCCTACCCGTTGAGATACCCCTACCCCTAGAGATACCCCTACCCCTAGTGATACCCCTACCCCTAGAGATACCCCTACCCCTAGAGATACCCCTACCCCTAGAGATACCCCTACCCCTAGAGATACCCCTAGAAATACCCCTACCCCTAGAGATACCCCTAGAAATACCCTACCCCTAGAGATACCCCTACCCCTAGTGATACCCCTACCCCTAGAGATACCCTACCCCTAGAGATACCCCTGCCCCTAGTGATGCCCCTACCCCTAGTGATACCCCTACCCCTAGTGATACCCCTACCCGTTGAGATACCCCTACCCCTAGAGATACCCCTACCCCTAGTGATACCCCTACCCCTAGAGATACCCCTACCCCTAGTGATACCCCTACCCCTAGAGATACCCCTACCCCTAGAGATACCCCTTCACCGAGAGATACCCCTGCCCCTAGAGATACCCCTACCCCTAGTGATACCCCTACCCCTAGAGATACCCCTAGAGATACCCCTACCCCTAGAGATACCCCTACCCCTAGAGATACTCCTACCCCTAGAGATACCCCTACCCTTAGTGATACCCCTACCCCTAGCGATACCCCTAGTGATACCCCTACCCCTAGAGATACCCCTACCCCTAGTGATACCCCTACCCGTTGAGATACCCCTACCCCTAGAGATACCCCTACCCCTAGTGATACCCCTACCCCTAGAGAGACCCCTACCCCTAGAGATACCCCTACCCCTAGAGATACCCCTACCCCTAGAGATACCCCTTCCCCGAGAGATACCCCTACCCCTAGAGATACCCCTACCCCTAGAGATACCCCTAGAGATACCCCTGCCCCTAGAGATACCCCTACCCCTAGAGATACCCCTACCCCTAGTGATACTCCTACCCCTAGATACCCCTACCCCTAGTGATACCCCTACCCCTAGTGATACCCCTACCCCTAGAGATACCCCTACCCCTAGAGATACCCCTACCCCTAGATACCCCTACCCCTAGTGATACCCCTACCCATAGCGATATCCCTACCCTTAGCGATACCCCTACTCCTAGAGATACCCCTACCCCTAGAGATACCCCTACCCCTAGAGATACCCCTACCCCTAGATACTCCTACCCCAAGTGATACCCCTACCCCTAGTGATACCCCTACCCCTAGAGATACCCCTAGAGATACTCCTACCCCTAGAGATACCCCTAGTGATACCCCTACCCCTAGAGATACCCTTACCCCTAGAGATACCCCTACCCCTAGAGATACCCCTACCCCTAGACATACCCCTAGAGATACCCCTACCCCTAGTGATACCCCTACCCCTAGAGATACCCCTACCCCTAGCGATATCCCTACCCCTAGAGATACCCCTAGAGATACCCCTACCCCTAGAGATACCCCTAGCGATATCCCTACCCCTAGAGATACCCCTACCCCTAGAGATACCCCTTCCCCTAGAGATACCCCTACCCCTAGAGATACCCCTACCCCTAGTGATACCCCTACCCCTAGAGATACCCCTAGAAATACCCCTACCCCTAGAGATACCCCTACCCCTAGTGATACCCCTACCCCTAGAGATACCCCTACCCCTAGAGATACCCCTGCCCCTAGTGATGCCCCTACCCCTAGAGATACCCCTACCCCTAGTGATACCCCTAGAGATACCCCTACCCCTAGAGATACCCCTACCCTTAGTGATACCCCTACCCCTAGCGATACCCCTACCCCTAGTGATACCCCTACCCCTAGAGATACCCCTACCCCTAGTGATACCCCTACCCGTTGAGATACCCCTACCCCTAGAGATACCCCTACCCCTAGTGATACCCCTAGAGATACCCCTACCCCTAGTGATACCCCTACCCCTAGAGATACCCCTACCCCTAGAGATACCCCTGCCCCTAGAGATACCCCTACCCCTAGTGATACCCCTACCCCTAGAGATACCCCTAGAGATACCCCTACCCCTAGAGATACCCCTACCCCTAGTGATACTCCTACCCCTAGATACCCCTACCCCTAGTGATACCCCTACCCCTAGTGATACCCCTACCCCTAGAGATACCCCTACCCCTAGAGATACCCCTACCCCTAGATACCCCTACCCCTAGTGATACCCCTACCCCTAGCGATATCCCTACCCCTAGCGATACCCCTACTCCTAGAGATACCCCTACCCCTAGAGATACCCCTACCCCTAGTGATACCCCTACCCCTAGAGATACCCCTAGAGATACCCCTACCCCTAGAGATACCCCTACCCCTAGATACTCCTACCCCAAGTGATACCCCTACCCCTAGTGATACCCCTACCCCTAGAGATACCCCTAGAGATACTCCTACCCCTAGATACCCCTACCCCTAGTGATACCCCTACCCCTAGTGATACCCCTACCCCTAGAGATACCCCTACCCCTAGAGATACCCCTACCCCTAGATACCCCTACCCCTAGTGATACCCCTACCCCTAGTGATACCCCTACCCCTAGAGATACCCCTACCCCTAGAGATACCCCTACCCCTAGATACCCCTACCCCTAGTGATACCCCTACCCCTAGCGATATCCCTACCCCTAGCGATACCCCTACTCCTAGAGATACCCCTACCCCTAGAGATACCCCTACCCCTAGTGATACCCCTACCCCTAGGGATACCCCTAGAGATACCCCTACCCCTAGAGATACCCCTATCCCTAGATACTCCTACCCCAAGTGATACCCCTACCCATAGTGATACCCCTACCCCTAGAGATACCCCTAGAGATACTCCTACCCCTAGAGATACCCCTAGTGATACCCCTACCCCTAGAGATACCCTTACCCCTAGAGATACCCCTACCCCTAGAGATACCCCTACCCCTAGAGATACCCCTACCCCTAGAGATACCCCTACCCCTAGTGATACCCCTACCCCTAGAGATACCCCTACCCCTAGAGATACCCCTACCCCTAGAGATACCCCTACCCCTAGAGATACCCCTACCCCTAGAGATACCCCTACCCCTAGTGATACCCCTACCCCTAGAGATACCCCTACCCCTAGAGATACCCCTACCCCTAGAGATACCCCTTCCCCTAGAGATACCCCTTCCCCTAGAGATACCCCTACCTCTAGAGATACCCCTACCCCTAGTGATACCCCTACCCCTAGAGATACCCCTAGAGATACCCCTACCCCTAGAGATACCCCTACCCCTAGTGATACCCCTACCCCTAGAGATACCCCTAGAGATACCCCTACCATTAGAGATACCCCTACCCCTAGTGATACCCCTACCCCTAGTGATACCCCTACCCTTAGTGATACCCCTTCCCCTAGAGATACCCCTAGAGATACCCCTACCCCTAGAGATACCCCTAGTGATACCCCTACCCCTAGAGATACCCCTTCCCCTAGAGATACCCCTACCCCTAGAGATACCCCTACAACTAGCGATACCCCTACCCCTAGCGATACCCCTACCCCTAGAGATACCCCTACCCCTAGAGATACCCCTACAACTAGCGATACCCCTACCCCTAGCGATACCCCTACCCCTAGAGATACCCCTACTCCTAGCGATACCCCTACCCCTAGCGATACCCCTACCCCTAGAGATACCCCTACCCCTAGTGATACCCCTACCACTAGCGATACCCCTACCCCTAGAGATACCCCTACTCCTAGCGATACCCCTACCCCTAGCGATACCCCTACCCCTAGAGATACCCCTACCCCTAGTGATACCCCTACCCCTAGAGATACCCCTACCCCTAGAGATACCCCTACCCCTAGAGATACCCCTACCCCTAGCGATACCCCTACCCCTAGTGATACCCGTACCCCTAGAGATACCCCTAGAAATACCCCTAGAGATACCCCTAGAGATACCCCTACCCCTAGAGATACCCCTACCCCTAGCGATACCCCTAGAGATACCCCTACCCCTAGCGATACCCCTAGTGATACACCAACAGCGCCGCTCGCTGCGCGTGTCGCCCTGCCAGGTGAGCGCGGGTGAGGAGGGAGGTGAGGCGGGGGACGAGGTGAGCATGGTGCCCGCCGGCGGGGTGAGCTACGCTCACCTGCTGGAGGAGCTCTTCGGAACGCCTGAGTGACGCGGCGTGGAGCGACAGAGTCGTCCAAGCCCCCTCGAGAACCTCACCACGCCTCACCTTCCCCTCGAGAACCTCACCACGCCTCACCTTCCCCTCGAGAACCTCACCACGCCCTCACCTACCCCTCGAGAACCTCACCACGCCCTCACCTTCCCCTCGAGAACCTCACCACGCCTCACCTTCCCCTCGAGAACCTCACCACGCCTCACCTTCCCCTCGAGAACCTCACCACGCCTCACCTTCCCCTCGAGAACCTCACCACGCCCTCACCTACCCCTCGAGAACCTCACCACGCCTCACCTTCCCTTCGAGAACCTCACCACGCCCTCACCTTCCCCTTGAGAACCTCACCACGCCTCACCTTCCCTTCGAGTACCTCACCACGCCCTCACCTTCCCCTCGAGAACCTCACCACGCCTCACCTTCCCCTTGAGAACCTCACCACGCCCTCACCTTCCCTCGAGAACCTCACCACGCCCTCACCTTCCCCTCGAGAACCTCACCAACCTCACCTTCCCCTCGAGAACCTCACCAACGCCCTCACCTTCCCCTCGAGAACCTCACCACGCCCTCACCTTCCCCTCGAGAACCTCACCACGCCCTCACCTACCCCTCGAGAACCTCACCACGCCTCACCTTCCCTCGAGAACCTCACCACGCCCTCACCTTCCCTCGAGAACCTCACCACGCCCTCACCTACCCCTCGAGAACCTCACCAACCTCACCACGCCTCACCTTCCCCTCGAGAACCTCACCACGCCCTCACCTTCCCCTCGAGAACCTCACCACGCCTCACCTTCCCCTCGAGAACCTCACCACGCCCTCACCTTCCCTCGAGAACCTCACCACGCCCTCACCTTCCCCTCGAGAACCTCACCACGCCCTCACCTTCCCCTCGAGAACCTCACCACGCCTCACCTTCCCCTCGAGAACCTCACCACGCCCTCACCTTCCCTTCGAGAACCTCACCACGCCCTCACCTTCCCCTCGAGAACCTCACCACGCCCTCACCTTCCCCTCGAGAACCTCACCACGCCCTCACCTTCCCCTCGAGAACCTCACCACGCCCTCACCTTCCCCTCGAGAACCTCACCACAGCCTCACCTTCCCCTCGAGAACCTCACCACGCCCTCACCTTCCCTTCGAGAACCTCACCACGCCCTCACCTTCCCCTCGAGAACCTCACCACGCCCTCACCTTCCCCTCGAGAACCTCACCACGCCCTCACCTTCCCCTCGAGAACCTCACCATGCCTCACCTTCCCCTCGAGAACCTCACCACGCCCTCACCTTCCCTTCGAGAACCTCACCACGCCCTCACCTTCCCCTCGAGAACCTCACCACGCCCTCACCTTCCCCTCGAGAACCTCACCACGCCCTCACCTTCCCCTCGAGAACCTCACCACGCCCTCACCTTCCCCCTCGAGAACCTCACCATGCCTCACCTTCCCCTCGAGAACCTCACCACGCCCTCACCTTCCCTCGAGAACCTCACCACGCCCTCACCTACCCCTCGAGAACCTCACCACCCCTCACCTTCCCCTCGAGAACCTCACCACGCCCTCACCTACCCCTCGAGAACCTCACCACCCCCTCACCTTCCCCTTGAGAACTACCTCACCACGCCCTCACCTTCCCCTCGAGAACCTCACCACGCCCTCACCTTCCCCTCGAGAACCTCACCAACCTCACCACGCCCTCACCTACCCCTCGACAACCTCACCACGCCCTCACCTTCCCCTCGAGAACCTCACCACGCCCTCACCTTCCCCTCGAGAACCTCACCACGCCCTCACCTACCCCTCGAGAACCTCACCACGCCACACCTTCCCCTCGAGAACCACACCACGCCCTCACCTTCCCCTCGAGAACCTCACCACGCCCTCACCTACCCCTCGAGAACCTCACCAACCTCACCACGCCTCACCTTCCCCTCGAGAACCTCACCACGCCCTCACCTTCCCCTCGAGAACCTCACCACCCCTCACCTTCCCCTCGAGAACCTTACCACGCCCTCACCTTCCCCTCGAGAACCTCACCACGCCCTCACCTTCCCCTCGAGAACCTCACCACGCCCTCACCTTCCCCTCGAGAACCTCACCATGCCCTCACCTTCCCCTCGAGAACCTCACCACGCCCTCACCTTCCCTTCAAGAACCTCACCACGCCCTCACTTCCCCTCGAGAACCTCACTACGCCCTCACCTTCCCCTCGAGAACCTCACCACGCCCTCACCTTCCCCTCGAGAACCTCACCATGCCTCACCTTCCCCTCGAGAACCTCACCACGCCCTCACCTTCCCTTCGAGAACCTCACCACGCCCTCACCTTCCCCTCGAGAACCTCCCCACGCCCTCACCTTCCCCTCGAGAACCTCACCACGCCCTCACCTTCCCCTCAAGAACCTCACCACGCCCTCACCTTCCCCTCGAGAACCTCACCATGCCTCACCTTCCCCTCGAGAACCTCACCACGCCCTCACCTTCCCCTCGAGAACCTCACCACGCCCTCACCTACCCCTCGAGAACCTCACCACCCCTCACCTTCCCCTCGAGAACCTCACCACGCCCTCACCTACCCCTCGAGAACCTCACCACCCCTCACCTTCCCCTTGAGAAACTCACCACGCCCTCACCTTCCCCTCGAGAACCTCACCACGCCCTCACCTTCCCCTCGAGACCCTCACCAACCTCACCTTCCCCTCGACAACCTCACCACGCCCTCACCTTCCCCTCGAGAACCTCACCACGCCCTCACCTTCCCCTCGAGAACCTCACCACGCCCTCACCTACCCCTCGAGAACCTCACCACGCCTCACCTTCCCCTCGAGAACCTCACCACGCCCTCACCTTCCCCTCGAGAACCTCACCACGCCCTCACCTACCCCTCGAGAACCTCACCAACCTCACCACGCCTCACCTTCCCCTCGAGAACCTCACCACGCCCTCACCTACCCCTCGAGAACCTCACCAACCTCACCACGCCTCACCTTCCCCTCGAGAACCTCACCACGCCCTCACCTTCCCCTCGAGAACCTCACCAACCTCACCACGCCCTCACCTTCCCCTCGAGAACCTCACCACGCCCTCACCTACCCCTCGAGAACCTCACCACGCCTCACCTTCCCCTCGAGAACCTCACCACGCCCTCACCTTCCCCTCGAGAACCTCACCACGCCCTCACCTACCCCTCGAGAACCTCACCAACCTCACCACGCCTCACCTCCCCTCGAGAACCTCACCACGCCTCACCTTCCCCTCGAGAACCTCACCACCCCTCACCTTCCCCTCGAGAACCTCACCACGCCCTCACCTTCCCCTCGAGAACCTCACCACGCCCTCACCTTCCCCTCGAGAACCTCACCACGCCCTCACCTTCCCCTCGAGAACCTCACCACGCCTCACCTTCCCCTCGAGAACCTCACCACGCCCTCACCTTCCCCTTCGAGAACCTCACCACGCCCTCACCTTCCCCTCGAGAACCTCACCACGCCCTCACCTTCCCCTCTAGAACCTCACCACGCCCTCACCTTCCCCTCGAGAACCTCACCACGCCATCACCTTCCCCTCGAGAACCTCACCACGCCTCACCTTCCCCTCGAGAACCTCACCACGCCCTCACCTTCCCTTCGAGAACCTCACCACGCCCTCACCTTCCCCTCGAGAACCTCACCACGCCCTCACCTTCCCTTCGAGAACCTCACCACGCCCTCACCTTCCCCTCGAGAACCTCACCACGCCCTCACCTTCCCCTCGAGAACCTCACCACGCCCTCACCTTCCCCTCGAGAACCTCACCATGCCTCACCTTCCCCTCGAGAACCTCACCACGCCCTCACCTTCCCTTCGAGAACCTCACCACGCCCTCACCTTCCCCTCGAGAACCTCACCACGCCCTCACCTTCCCCTCGAGAACCTCACCACGCCCTCACCTTCCCCTCGAGAACCTCACCACGCCCTCACCTTCCCCTCGAGAACCTCACCATGCCTCACCTTCCCCTCGAGAACCTCACCACGCCCTCACCTTCCCCTCGAGAACCTCACCACGCCCACACCTACCCCTCGAGAACCTCACCACCCCTCACCTTCCCCTCGAGAACCTCACCACGCCCTCACCTACCCCTCGAGAACCTCACCACCCCTCACCTTCCCCTTGAGAACCTCACCACGCCCTCACCTTCCCCTCGAGAACCTCACCACGCCCTCACCTTCCCCTCGAGAACCTCACCAACCTCACCTTCCCCTCGACAACCTCACCACGCCCTCACCTTCCCCTCGAGAACCTCACCACGCCCTCACCTTCCCCTCGAGAACCTCACAACGCCCTCACCTACCCCTCGAGAACCTCACCACGCCTCACCTTCCCCTCGAGAACCTCACCACGCCCTCACCTTCCCCTCGAGAACCTCACCACGCCCTCACCTACCCCTCGAGAACCTCACCAACCTCACCACGCCTCACCTTCCCCTCGAGAACCTCACCACGCCCTCACCTTCCCCTCGAGAACCTCACCACCCCTCACCTTCCCCTCGAGAACCTTACCACGCCCTCACCTTCCCCTCGAGAACCTCACCACGCCCTCACCTTCCCCTCGAGAACCTCACCACGCCCTCACCTTCCCCTCGAGAACCTCACCATGCCCTCACCTTCCCCTCGAGAACCTCACCACGCCCTCACCTTCCCTTCGAGAACCTCACCACGCCCTCACCTTCCCCTCGAGAACCTCACTACGCCCTCACCTTCCCCTCGAGAACCTCACCACGCCCTCACCTTCCCCTCGAGAACCTCACCATGCCTCACCTTCCCCTCGAGAACCTCACCACGCCCTCACCTTCCCTTCGAGAACCTCACCACGCCCTCACCTTCCCCTCGAGAACCTCACCACGCCCTCACCTTCCCCTCGAGAACCTCACCACGCCCTCACCTTCCCCTCGAGAACCTCACCACGCCCTCACCTTCCCCTCGAGAACCTCACCACGCCCTCACCTTCCCCTCGAGAACCTCACCATGCCTCACCTTCCCCTCGAGAACCTCACCACGCCCTCACCTACCCTCGAGAACCTCACCACCCCTCACCTTCCCCTCGAGAACCTCACCACGCCCTCACCTAC